AATGGATTTGAGGTGAAATCAGAGGGACATGGGAGGAGTTGGAGATCTAGAGTGAGGAGTGGCAATGAGGCAAAAGCAGTACTTAGTATGAAATTTTCTACCCCAAATTTCATTTAAAATAAACTAAGGAAGACATTAGAAAATGGGAAGATATTCACTGCCATGGGTTTACTAGAAGAATTAGTAATGAATATGGCCATCCTACCAAAAGTAATCTTGAGGTTCAATACAATCTCAGCTAAATTCCCGTGTCCCTCTTAACAGAAACAATAACAGTGGTCTTAAAATTCAGATAGAAACACAAAAGACCCCACATAGTCAAAGCCATTATGAGTAAAATTAACACTGTTAAGGGTTCCACTCTACTTCATTTCTAGTTATATTACAGAGCCTTAGTAATAACAACAGCATGGTACTAGCATGACAACAGACATTCAGATCAGTGGATAGTAGACCTAGATACAAATTGATATGACCTCAGCCATCTCATTTTGACAAAATAACAAGAATTCACACTGTAGATAAGATACTGTTTTCAACAAATGGTGCTGGAAAACAGCATACCTGCATGGAGAAGAATGAAACTAATCTCTCACTATGCACTAAAATCAACACCAAAAGGATGAATGATCTCAATATAAGACCCAAAGCCGTGAAACTTCTAGAGGAAAAGGTGGGGAGAGCACTACACAATATCTACATAAGCAGGGACTTGGTTGTACCAAAAATAAGGCTAACAATAGACAAAGAGCGCCTTCTTGATTTTTTTCACTTTAAAAAAGATTTATTTTTATTTTATGTGTATGGGTATTTTGCCCACATGTATGTCTGTGTACTATGTGCATGCAGAAGAGGGCATCAGATCCCATGAAACTGTAGTTATAGACAGTCCTAAGTCCCATGTGGGTGCGGGGAAGTGAACATGGGTTCTCTGCAAGAGCAACATGTACTCTTTAACTGTTGAGCCATCTCTCTAGCCACCCCCAGCCTTTATGTTATTTTTCCATTTTATTTCCAGTTTTCCCAGAATCAAAATGAATAGATGTACTTGTGATACTTTGTGCCATCACCAGTGGCCCTCATCTTCATTCCTATAATGGCATTCAATCCTATAAACACATTTTCTTACCTAGCGAAACATTGGAACTTGTAGACATAGACTCCAAAACCATAAAGTTTGAGAACTGTAGAACTATTGAAAGACAGGCCTGTGTTTTCTGCTATTATTTCCATGGAATATTTCTATATTGTTTTTGGGGCATATTTAGGAGTAGTAGTTTATATTTTATCTCCAAGGTAGGTCGAGTGACATCAAGTTTCTTTAACAGTTCTGAGTCACTGAAGATGTACACGCAGTTACTGTGGTCTATTTTCCTGTCAATTTCTAGTTTGCTGAAAAAGGCAGACCTAACATATCTGTTAACCAAGGCTCACAATTCCTGAATTGCTATTACTGTTTTGCATCATTTGAAACACATAACATAAAACTGAGCATTTTAAATTTATAGTTCGTTGATTTTAAGTATATCCATACTGCTGTGAACTTGATATCCAGAATCTCTTCATCCAAGAGAGGTGAACCTCTGTATCTAAATAGCAGTTTAATTTTTACCTCTTAATTCTTATTACCTCTTAATTCTTCTCCTCAGCTCCTCTCCACCTCTTGCTTTCTGTTTCTGGGAATGTGACTACTTTAGGTATATCATATAATGAAAGTACACAATATTTGAAGTTTTTGTCTGGTATATTTCAGTTAGTACTGTCTATTCCAAGAAGATCTATCTTGAAACATTTGATAAGATTTTCTTCCTTTTAAAGTTGAACAGTATTCATTATGCATATATGTGCTTATCTAGTTTTGTTTATTCATAATCTACTAACATTATTTGAGTTATTTCTACATCTCGGTTATTTTATGCTATTAACATGTGTATGCAGAAACCCCCTCTGCTTGCTTTTCCTTTTTATATATACACTACCAAGTAGGTCCTGAAATATTCCTTGCTTCTTTTGTTTTCTGAGTTGAAGTCTCATGATAAATAATGAATATAGTTTTCACTTCAATAGATGATACTTTGATTTTTCACTAAAGTTCTGTTTGTATTTGCAGGACCTCATAATGCTCTGGTTTGGGATACTGGAAGGTTTACTGTTCTTATTGCTTGTTGCATGCAGCATCTCACCACATATCGCCATGAGTAGTGTCAGTGATTACAAAGTAAGAAAGTGTGGGTAAGGGGATTTTAAGAATTCCCGTAATTGTATTTTTAATGCTGTTAAGTGCAAAAATATTTTCCTCTGGGATATGGAGAAGCACTGAATCATATTATTACATGTAGTCCAGCAACTCAGAAAGCTTTTTTTTGTGGTTTTTCGAGACAGGGTTTCTCTGTGGCTTTGGAGGATGTCTTGGAACTAGCTCTTGTAGACCAGGCTGGTCTCGAACTCACAGAGATCCACCTGCCTCTGCCTCCCAAGTGCTGGGATTAAAGATGTGTACCACCAACTCGCCCAGCCAGAAAGCTTATTTTTTAAATGCAGAATGTTTTTACTTCAAAGTTATGTGTAAAGTACAATGGTTTTCAGAGTGTAACATTACTTTAAATCTTCTTTAAAGTAGAATATTATGTATCTTTTGGATGAATTGTTTCCGAGTTGCAAGAAAGTAATTCATCCAAAAATGTCATGTTCTCCACTTTTCACACTCTGAGGCATATATTTGAATGTCTGTTTATATAGGTACAACCTGTTGAGTCCACTTAGTGTTATCCATATGTGTATGTGTTTGGGACTGACTAGTTGGGATTGGATAATCTACTGAGGGCTAATTCCTGGGGAAGATTGATTCTCCCTCTCTCAGTAACTATGAATTGCCTCTAGCTTTTCATCTAAGGGTTCAGCCTTGTAGATTTCCCCACTTCTGTTGGCATGTCAACTCATATGTGGTTGTTCAGGTCTTGTTTAAGTAGATACACTGTTTCATGAGTATAGCTCTCCTGTCATATATAGAAGAGACAGTCTTGCATCACACTTCTTTGGTCCTCTGACTCTTAAAAGTCCCTTGTTGGGCTTCTATTCATTCTTTTAGACCTACTATTTGCCTTTGTGCAGCATATTCTCTGTCATGGTCCCCTTTTACAATTTTATTTTTTACAAAATTTAAAAATGTAGATTAAATCTAAAGATCCAAACTTTAGAATCCAAAAATTTCAAAAGCTGACACAATGCCATTCCTGGAAAAATCCCACACCTGACTTCTTGCAATGAGAACTAGAAAGTATTTAGACTTCTTTTCATTATTCATGGATTAAAATGATACTGCATATCAGTGTACCAAATAAATCACCATTAGGCAACTGGATCTGTAGGACTCAGGTTATTAAGCACTTTGTGTATATTATTTTGAATAAAATAAAATGATATTAATTTACTTTAAATATTTTTGCATTTTTCACCCAACTTCACAAATGTACACATATACAACACATAAGCCAGTAAACATTAGTAGTAAATTTTTAAGATGAGCTAATAAAGTGAATTTATACCTTCATTATGACAAGAGCCACTGGCCCAGCACTTGGTACACATGAAGAAGTCAATCATTTCTCCTTGTATTGAATTTAGGTTGAATGTTGATATCTTTTTATGTCATATGTATCAAAGAGTAGATTAACATTTTTATGGACTTTGCATACATTGACTATCCTCACTTTCTGTTTCACAATAGCAAGTCCTTGAGGAAATAATTCAATATCTCATAAAAACATTCCCAGGGATCAGGAATTATTGGGAGGATTGGATTCACTGCTAACAAACATACAACAATGATTCCCATAAGGGACAGGCCTGTTCTTAAAGCAAGAATGCAGGTGTATGTGGACTAGATCTATCAAACCAGCATTATGAGATAGCTTGCTCTCTGAAGTACTAGGAACATAGGACTGGCAGGAAAAGAGATAGTCTAGAAACATCTGTATCCCTCCTTTGGATGATTATACAATTAAAATAACAATATACAAAAAATTATTTTGGAGAGAGGAGCTGAGACGATGATGGTTCAATAATGGCCCACATCTTGACCATGCCTGCTTAGTTATGCATACCCCTTGCCCTCTATGGAAACCTAAACCTCATCTCAGTATCTCTGACTAGACCCTCTTCTCTGTTTCCTGTCTTCCCAGTGTGACTGCATTGAGCAAACCATTGTTCTCTACTTTTTAGTATTCTTTGTCTTTTTAATTGACACATGGAGTGGGTGGCCAGCCCTAGCTTATTTGGGCTTTCAGAGCCCAGCCGCTGACCCTAAAATGTCCAGTAATGACTCTGACGTTTCTGAAGATGAACTCTCATGTCATGATGTAAGATGACAGAATTCCAACAACACACCACAGTTTGACAGCACACTGAAGAAAGAGCAAAGATAAAAAGGCATGGGGAACTTGTTGGTTATTGACTAAGATAATTAACTGGAAGAGCTGTTTAAGTCCCACTAGTTCTCAGAGTGGGAGAGAGTAGTTTCTCAAAAATAATTTTGGGGTATCATCTTAACATTAAAGATAGCAAATAGATACTAAAGGCCTATGTCTAGTATGTAGACATTTGACACAGCATGGAATTTGATTTGATTTTCCAAGATTCAAATTCAAGTACTTCTTAAGACAATGCCTGGGAGTGGAGCTAACAATAAAACCAACCTCACAGGCTTGACATGAGTACTGAATGATATAATATACTTAAAAGTGTAAAGCATAACTCTCCAAGTAGGAAAGTTGAAAGTTTGAAAAAGCCCTATTCTCCAAAGGTTATCACAGGCTCTGTCAAATTAGATCTCGAGAGTGCTGTCATTGTATTCATCACAAAACTAGAAAAGCACAAAAGACTCCGAGTAGCCAAAGCAACCTTCCACAAAAATAGCCATGCCAGAGGGGCTGGGTACAACCAAGCTTGTGTAGAGTACTGGGTTTGGTCCCAATCACTGATAAACAAGGCAGAGTGGCACATGCCTGTAATCCTAGCACTTGGGAGATGGAAACAAGTAGGTCAGAATTCAAGGTCATCCTTAATGCATAGCACCAGGCTAGCCTCGACTACATAAAAGCCTAAATTTTTTATTGCATTTTAATGCAACTGATGTGCCTCCTGTGTTTTCTCATCAGAAGAAAGCTGATTCCCAGTTGTGGATTTCTGGCCTCTACCCTTCTGCCTACTGGTGTGGGCAGGCGGTGGTGGATATTAACCTCTTCAATGTAATTCTTCTCTCAAGCTACTTCACATTACATGTGACAAAACTCATGCACATTTACTTGACAAGTGAAGTTGTGCTATCGATAGTAAGTAATAAGACATCGACCAAATTCTATACAGTAATTAAAAAGCAATATTAGTTGTTTAAATATTTGAGAATACTCGATAAACCTAACCACAAGCATATTACCAGTTAAAATATTTTTTTAAAAGATTTGTTATTTATTATGCTTACAGTGTTCTGCCTGCATGGATGCCTGCAGGCCAGAAGAGGGTACCAGATCTCGTTGTAGATGGTTGTGAGCCACCATATGGTTGCTAGGAATTAAACTCAGGACCTCTGGAAGAGCAGCCAACTCTCTTAACCTCTGAGCCATCTCTCCAGCCCCAGTTAAAATATTTTTAAGTGTATGTAATTTAAAATCTCCCTCAGATGTTTCATTTTTAACTGACATTATCTGTATTATCTTTAGGTTGTTGTTTTGTTCGGTTGTGCAGCTTCTCTTGTCTTCTTGACATATGTGATATCATTTGTTTTTGGCAAAAGGAGAAAAAACAGTGGCCTCTGGTCAATTTGCTTCTTTACTGTAAGTATGAAGAGTATCAAATATGTTTTGTCTTGAGCAGTGGAAAAATTAAAAATGTAGATTTAATTTAAAGATTCAAATCCTCTGCCCAAAATTTTGAGAGCTGACACAATACCACATTACCTGACTTAATGTGATGGTTCCCTGTCAAGATGCAGGAGTACAACAAAATTTACTCACCATTACCAGTGGACCATTTAAAGTTATGTATGTAAAGTGATATATCACTTAATTTTTTATTAAGATTTGAATTTGATCCCAAATTCCAGTAAAATCTGAATTTCAAGTTATTATTGTCCTCAAACATTTCAGATTAAAATTCCTAGTAGAAAGGACCTGGAAATGTAACTTGTGATATTGAGTCACTTATATTTATGACGATTTCTGGTGCAGATCTTTGTAGAGTTCAATGAGAACTTCATAAAAGACACAAAGTTTAAAATGTACCAGAACTGGCTTCTGAAGCAGTTCTGTAGAACATGGGTGTCCAACTTTAGGCATTGTTGTATGCTCTTGTCATCTGCAAATGTGTTGGGCTGCATTCATAGGTATCCTGGGATGCACGTTGCCTGCATGCAACACTTTGAATATGCCTGATCCAGGAACTCTCATCTTAACCGCTCTCTAAGGGAAATCCTGTTTAGGTAATGCTAACCATGCCCTGCTTGGGGCTGGTCACAGGTGTTGCTGACTATGCCTCTTGGGAGTGGTCAGAGTGACATGGGAAAGGTTTAAGTAGCATAGGGGCACACAGGCAGGGCCTTCTCTCACTCCCTGCTGCCTGGTTAAGCGGACTTGCATAAGTTCTATTTCTTAATAAGCTATCAAGCTAGATCTGACGCATGCTGGTTGTGGTGGTGCACACTGGTAGGATTTGCTGAAGGAGGAAGAGGCAGGAGTATCACAAGTTCAATGACAGCCCCAAGCAGGTGTGGTTAGCATTACCTCCAAACAGGATTTCCCCTACACCACAGCTGTGAGAATTTCAGATATAATAAATTATTTGACACAGGAATCAAAATATGGTATCTGAAATTCTTATCTCTACATATGAAAATAGAGAGAGCTTGTCTGGTATTATGAGAAACTTTGCTATGAATATTTACCCAAGCAACAAAGATCCAGAATGATGTTGAAGCTGCCTTTAACTTGATATTCCTAAAACGTGATTGGATGTCTGTCAATATCATAAGTCTAAATTTTTGGGAGTCCTGAAGTTATGAAAGACCTTAGCTCAAGACCAGCTATGAGAAAATACTCTTCTCTGATACCACCCACTGTGGATACAGCTGATTGCTGTATTAATATACAGCACTTGTATTTTATGTCTTTGGGTTGAATTTGTTATATTCATCAGTGGCATTTATTGCAATCTTCCTAAGAAAGAAGCTACATAAAGTACTACAGAGTACTTCATTTGAAAAACTACCTCTCCAAAATGGCTGTACAAGTTTGCATTCCCACCAGCAGTGGAGGAGTGTTCCCTTCCCTTGACTCAATACCCTCTCCAACATAAGCTGTCCTCAGTATTTTTCATCTTAACCATTCTGACAGTTGTAAGATGGTATCTCAGAGTCATTTTGATTTGCATTTCCCTGATGATTAAGGATCTTGAGCATTTCCTTAAATGTTTTTCAGCCTTTTGAGATCCTTTTGATGAGAATTCTGTTTAAATTTGTACCATTTTTAATTGGATTATTTTGATGTCTAGTTTCTTGAGGTCTTTACATATTTTGGAGATCAGCCCCTTGTCAGATGTGGGGTTGGTGAAGATCTTTTCCCATTCTGTATGCTGTCATTTTGTCTTATTTGCTATGTTCTTTGCTTTACAGAAGTTTCAGGAGATCCCATTTATTGATTGTTGCTCTCAGTGTCTGTGTTATTGGTGTTATATTTAGGAAGTGGTCTCCTGTACCATTGTGTTTAAGGCTGCTTCCCACGTTCTCTTCTATCAGGTTCAATGTAACTGGATTCATGTTGAAGTCCTTGATCTACTTGGACTTGAGTTTTGTGCATGGTGATAGACATGGATATATGCAATCTTCTACATGTTGACACCTAGTTATGCCAGCACCATTTGTTAAAGATTCTTTTTTTAGACATGTTAACCAGTTTATTATAGGCCTGGTGGAGTAGAGAGACCAAGAAAGAAGAGAAACAGGGTTAATGGCTGACTACCATAGCCAGTCGCCAAAGAGTGAGAGAGAGAGAGAGCATAGGCAGGAGGAGAGAAGAGCAGAGAAGGAGAGAGTAGAGAGAGCATAAATGGGCAGGGGTCTATCTTTTAAAGGGATCCTTTGCACCTGCATGCAGACTTAGATCCCATGGAACCCTGGGCTGACCCGGGTACTGCCTGAGTGGATTCTGACAGGTAACAGGGGCAGGCCAGCATAATGCCTGAACCTTTCAACCCCACCTTTACTTATTATTTAAAAAAGATGGGGTGTTAGACATGGCAGATTAAGGAATAAGGGCATTGAATTCTCAAGACTTTTTCCTGCTTATATTGGGAGTGTTGACCATCTTTGGGGGACCTGAGAATGTTGGGGTGCTGCCACATCCTGGGGTAGCTGGTTGTTTCATCACAGTCTGGGCTGTATAGAACTCCCTGGCACCTCCTAGACCTGGCAAGATGTTGACAGAGCAGAGGACAAGGTTAGGTTTAGAAAAAAATTTTTTCTTAGGTCCTGTCACTTGAGGGGAAGATTGTAAGATGAGGGAGGGGTTCCCAAGGAATCCCAACATGAGGGAGGGGAGTCCTGGGACCAGGGAAAGATTGACTAACTGGAGTGAATCTGACCTGTTTGTTTGGATCCAATACAGCTCCCTGGAACTTACAAGAATCCTTAGATTTTGTGGAAACATAAGTATTAGACACATATTCATGTTAGAAGCAAATTAGCAGAAAGCATTAACATTTTAAAACTGACATATTTTTTAGGACAATGAAAAGCATCTTAATCTTGACCTTGTAGTTATGATCGTATAGTGGTATTGTAGAACTTTACTGACTATGAACAGTAGCATGAGAAAGAGAAATCCAGAACATATTTCATTCTTTTTTAATGTCTCAACTCACTTTATCATCACTTAAGCCTTTTTAGAATGAGAAAGAGAAATCTGGGACATATTTTATTCTTTTTAATATCTCAATCACTTTATCATCACTTAAACGTTTTTATCCTCAGACCTTTGTAACTAACATTCCCAGACCTTCATTCACCTTAGACTTTGCTGTCTTCACAGAGATGAACCCTAAAATACCTGTTTATGAAATCTGTTTTACTTTAAGCTGGCAAGACTGCTAGTCATCAAAAGCATCAGTTCTTGAAAGGATAAGATTTTACCTGAATCAATCATTAAAGAATAACACAGACTTGCCAGCAGGATGCATGGACAGCCAGCCCCAAGGTCCTCCATCCATAGTAGCTGGCTACAGGACACCTGCCTTCTTGCTGATAGCATGTGACCTGTGGATTACAGACTACAGGAAGGCTCACCTACCATTGGCCCAAGCAACTCAGGGAAAGTCGATTCCATTGTCCTCTTGTCCATGGTCTGGAGTACTTTGTAGCAGTTGAGGTGAAGGGCGGGGTTGCTCAGTGACTAGCATTGTCACTGACTCGAGATGAAGTTTCTTCAGTGCCCAACAGTCTTCTTGCAGGAAATGGCATGGGGCCAGCAGCTGGCCTATCTCTCTGTTATAGAAAGCTTCTTAACAAAGCATTTTAAATGCCATGTTCTCTAGATCTTTGAGCATTTTAGGGCTGTCTGTCTGTTTAGTATCTCAGCAGTTAAAAATTTGCCTTTAGTTAGAGAAAAATCCCTTTTTGTAATAAAAAGCTGTACCTTTGTAAATGGCTTACAGGATGAACTGAGTGGTATAAATATTTTGTTAATTTGAAATAGACCTTTATGATTTTAAACTTTCATCATCATTTAAAGATACATGAGTTAAATTTAAGTTATATAGACTTAGCTTATATTTAAAATATAGTTAAATTAGACCTTTATGACTTTAAATGTTTACCATCATTTAAAGATACATAGCAATTTAGAAATATGAGACTTAGCACAGTTTAAGTTGCATATAGAGTTAGATAAGTATAAAGTTAAATTACAGGTACAGAGACAAGTAGGACTGGATAACAGTAAGAGGAACCAGAATGCAATCTCTGATCCATACATTGTAATAAACAGACAAGAGATTTAAAGGGACAGAGTAGACTTAAACAGAGAGCCCTGGAAAGACACAGTATTCTGTAAACAAGCCATGAGCAACAGGGCCAGTGAAAGAAGATATCACAGACAAAAAAAAAAAAAGAGCAAAAAGTCTGGAAGCCAGGTTTGCTGGCACAGGCCGCTGGGGTGGGTGTGCCTATAGGTAGGTCACATGGCCAAGATGGCAGCGACCATAAGCCACTTTTTTGTCTGTTTACCCGTCTGTTGGCTGCAACCAGAAAGGTTCCTTATGCATATCCCATGGGTAAGGCAAGTGGAAAAACTGGCAAAAGTTCCTCTCTAGATACCCAGTCGGCCCATGGGAGTTGCCAGGGTCCTGGCCCCGAAGAGGAACTCCGCTGTCCCAAAACTGAAAAGGACCTAGGGTCGAAACTGAAGAACAAAAAAGCACCGCTCCTGGAGCAGGATTCCAAACCTGACCCATGAAAAATTCAAGGGATATTTTACCGGATTGTAGCGAACAGGCAGATGAGTGGATTCCAAAGATGCTTAGTTGGAAAAGTGGCAAGTTGAAGTGTACAGAGTCCTGGCATCTCTGTACTGCTGTAGGTAGAAGGTAGTGCCAGGAAAAACCGAGATGGGAAGTGGGTTATGAGTTCAGATTTTAGGATCCCCAAAATTTCCCACACCCCTGGCGGGAGAGGTTTCGGGGAGAGCCTAAACCAAGTTGGGCGCCAAATATTATTCTTTTGCTTAAATTAGAAATAAAAGAAGAAGAGGCACAAGATGAGACATAAGATGAGACTTACTAGAAATGCTAACCAGTTTATTATAGGCTTGGCGGAGTAGAGAGACTAAGAAAGGAGAGAAACAGGGTTAATGGCTTACTGCTATGGTGGGTTGCCAGAGAGAGAGAGAGAGAGAGAGAGAGAGAGAGAGAGAGAGAGAGAGAGAGAGAGAGAGAGAGAGGGGGGGGGGGGGGAGAGAAGAGCAGAGAAGGAAATTCTTTCCTTTTTCCATTGTACCTTTTTAGCTTCTGTGTCAAAAATCAGGTGTTCATAGTGTGTGAATTAATGTCAGGGTCTGTGATTTGATTCTGTCGATTCACTTTGTATGCCAATACCAAGCTGTTTTCATTACTATAGCTTTACAGTGTTATTCCCAATACTGACTGTGATGAACAGCTGTCATTAGAAGATAATCTTACTGTAACTCACCTGATTTTTATTTCAGCTAATACTCTTTTATATGTCTAGAAAAAGTGAATAAAGCAACTATGCCATGCTGATTCCTTAGGTTTGCCAGTAATTTCAACTCCGCATGAATTATTTCTTGGCACACTGGCCAGAGGTGCTAATCAGTGGTATAGTAAATGTTTAGCATGCATGAAGTTCTGTGTTCATTGTTCAGCATTCTTTATCAAAAGAAAGGTCATACTGAACACACAATACAAGTAATTAACATGTTGATAAAAATAACTTTATATTGGGGGAGATAACACTTCTGTATACTCTTATTAACAAAACTATTTCCCTTTTTGTCTCCAAAAGGGAAACTATTATGGGCCTGTATTTGTATCTTTATATGGGAAGTTGTGGAATTTGTCACTTGATGTCACTCTTGGACTCACCCTGCAGGTCATGGCCGTCATGTTCAAGATCCTTTTGACAGAATTCTTCAGTGAGACACTGCTCATTATCATGATGGTGTTAGTTCCTTCATTTTCATTGATTGCATTCCTGATTTTTTTGGAAATGGTAAGAAATGTCATAAATTATTCCATAAAAATGTAATGTGTAGGCTATTTTCTGTGCATAGATCTACAGAGATAGAAAGTGGGTTAGTGGACTTGGGGAGTGAAAGCAGACATGAGGGATTGCTTTGTGATGGATGATTAGATGATCTAAAGTTGAATTGTGGTGATGCTTACACAAGTTATTAAAAAAAAGTCCTGAGTCTGCAGACTTAGAGTGGGTAGAATTTATGGCATGAAAATAAACCTCAATAAAACCATTAAAAAGCTGTGCCTTAGGCACTTTGCAAAATGTAGGCATGGTTGAATGCTATTAGAAGCTAAAGCCAGATTGTAAAAGAACTTCCTATTTCAATGGATGTTTATTAATTACTGAAGATAAGTTCATACATAATACTCTTCAACTACTCAAAAGCGTATGTCAAACACCATCCTGTGCTAGTCGCTGGGCTAGTAATTAGGGACACCTGATGAGCAAAATAGCACAGTTCTTCCTTCACAGAGCTCAGCAGAAACAAAGACAGATAAGCCCCAAGCAGATCACCATAGTTAAAGGTTACAATGGCAATGGGCAAAGTACTGAAGAAGAACATAAAAGCATAGTCGGGACACTTAGGAGTCAGAGAATTCTGGGTAAATGATACTCCTAAATGATGAATAAGAATTGTTGAGAGAGTAAGATAAGAAATAAGCATGTCCTGCAGACAAAATCAAAGGTCTCAAGAGAGGAAAGACCATGGAATATTAGAGAAAAGCTGAGTATTACATAAATGAACAGATGTTCAGTTGAGATCATACTTTTTGGGAACCTTCACTACTCTAGATGAAATGGCTTTAAGCATAATAGCAAGTTTCATTAATTGTGTTCTGGAGGGAAGTGGGAAGACCTGTCTACAAAAATACTTTCTTTGTTGACAAAGCACTGACTGGAAGTTATGATCAAAACTGGTCCCTTTGCTTAGTATTTTCTTCCTAAAACATAAGTAGGTGACATACATAAATCTAGATTTGTCACAGGGGATTCAAAAGTAATGACTTGATTTCTGCATAACTAGTTGAGGATAAAAGAATAATGTCAAGGACTACTTGTTATGATTGAGAAAACAGCCATCATTGAGATAAGAAGGGAGCCTGTGAGTAGGTTTATGTGGGATAATCATAAATATCTTAACTCTTAACATTTTCACAATGTCAACATCTCTCTCTGCTTTGCTTTCAGTAAATTTTTTAAGCCAAACTACTTTTTTTAATGGATGAGATATAGGTTAGCTGCCTATTGAGAAAGGGTATTTAGTAGGGGGTTCCTCCTTTGTAGGGCGTATGTTGTCAGTGCACATAGAACAAAGTGCATATTATTTAAATGCAAATTGTGAAGAAAGTATATTTAGCCCATTTTTTCTCTTTTCAGAGATCCTTCCAGCACTACAGTGAATTTGGAGAAATCAAATATGGTTTATCTGGGGTTGATCTTCTATTATGCCTAATAGTAAGACTTTTTCCTCACTATACATCCCTTAGGGTAGATATTCTTTGCTATAATTGTAAGGTCTTGTCTGATGCTTGCTATTTCTGAAAGTGTGTTAAACATAGTTTTAGGTAAAGCAATGACTTCCAGTCATGGATTAACTCTTAGAAAAATTTTTTGTGTGCATATATATGATAAGTTAACAATTCAGTATAGTATCCATTTTGGTTTGTTTGGTCTCTTCCCCATACTGCCTTTAAATTTGAAAGTATAAAAAAAATCAGATGCAATATGAATTTTCTGAATTATGAATATAAGGCAAAAATTTAATATGAGTGAGTGGGAAAATTATTTTAGATTTAAGGATGAAGAAAGCTACTGTCTTTCCATACTATCTGCCCATGATGCTCTTAGCAAAACAGTAAACACGAAGTCCCTGCCCTCATGGTGCTTATATTCTAGAAGAGGTATCCAGATAAACTAAATAACAGTAAATACTGTGTCAGTTGGAAAAGTGTCTTGTTACTTTCTGTTGCTGTGAAGAGACACCATGATCAAAGAAAATTATAGAAGAATGCATTTAATGGGTGAGTCCATGACCATCATGGCAGGGAGCATTGCAGCCTGTGGGCAAGCATGGACTGGAGCAATAGCTGAGAGCTATATCAGATCCACAAGCACAAGGAAGAGAAAAAGAGTTAACTGGGAATGATGTGGGCTTGTAGGCTTTTGTGACCTCAAAGCCCACTTTCAATGACACACCTGCTCCAATAAGTCCACACCTCCTAATCCTTCCCAAACAGTTCCACTAACTGGGGACAGTGCGATCATTTAAAACGATGAGCCTAGGCAGCTATTCCCATTCCGACCACCACAGATAGGAAGGTCTTGAATGATATTCTAATAGGTAGTAGAGAGATTGACACTATCCTGCTTCAGTATCACCTAGGAGAAAGAGGGAGTTTAATCAGATAGAAGATCATACAAGTAATTTGGTAAAGTACAAGATAAGCATAATGGGGTCCGCATGGTGTTCTAGATAACTCCAAGGATTCTGATGCAAATTTTAGTAGTTAAGGAGTCATTGGATGGTTTTGATCAAAGCACGGTGATCAAACGTAGCTATGGAAGGCATAACTGCAGTTTTTACATGAGAGTACCTATGTAGGACAAGAGGAGTAGAGGGAAACCGTGTGGGAATGCATTGCACGCTGAGGAAGAACAATGACATGCATCTGGATGGGCTTAACACAGAAGAGATAACTAGTTGCATTATGGGTCACTTTAAAGACAAAAAAGAATTTATTGAACTTTAAAATATGGGTTATGAATAGTAGAAACAAGATAGGATAAACTGTTGGGTTGTGTTTTCTTCCCCAACTTATAAGCATTTGCTGTCAAATTACCTATAAATACAGAAGAAACAGTTAAGTAACTTCATTAACTTATGTATAAACAAAGCTCTTTCTTTGCTCCTAGCCTTACTTTCATACTTTGCTGTTCATTTTTGTTCTGAGATGCCTGGAACTTAAATGTGGAAAGAATGTAATGCGGAAGGATCCCATTTTCAGGTTAGAATAACATTTAATTTCATATATAAATGAGAGCATAGCTTAATATTCCTATTGTTGCACTTTATTGGTTGATAGAGATTTCTATTTGCAATGCAAGCAATGTAACTGTTGGCATTATAGTCAATGGATTTCTGGCTCACTGCCAAGAAATAAAATCTGCCACTAACCATTATAGAGATACTTCAATTTATCAAAACTACAAAGATTTTCCAAGTATACCATCCATTCTGCCATATAAGGTGATATTCATCCTTGCATAGGAGAGATGGAAAGAAGAGATATTAACTAATAACAATTGATTTGATGAAGTTTTACATGTGGTCTGTGGAAAGTGTGAGCAGTGAAAGATGCTGAAACAAATATCTGATACGACTAAGGTGGAGCTGTAGTGACCAGTGGCAGTAAAAGTGACTTGAATTTTAGGAGGGCAGGGGCAGTACTTGATGATATTGCTGTTAAATACTGGCTTTAAAGGTCAAGGATTCTGGAAGGACAGCAACAACACTGAGAGAGGGACTCTGGTCAGTGGGATGAGAGTTCTCCATAAAGCTACAGCCACATGAATAATGACAATCAACCACCAGTCTATTAGAAAAAAAACTGGTGAAATCATCAGGAAACTAAATTTTGACAACTAGAAAACAATGTGCAACTCAGTTGTTTTCCACAGGATATCTCCACGAAGTGTAAAGGTTCAACCAAATCTAGAAGAACATATAGGTGAAGATGAAGATGAAGATGAAGATGTCCAAGCAGAAAGAATAAGGACATCAGCTGCCTTGAGTACTTCAAATTTAAATGAGGTTTGAAAGCATAGATACTGTTGAAAGCATACAAGAATTGTTGAGAACAAAGCTTGATATATTGGCTTTAACTTTGAAAGTGTGAAGCTTGGTACATCCCTAAATAAGTGGTCACCCTAGAAGGTTCTGGAAACTAAAATAACATAAAACACTATGATTTTGCTGGGCTGTGGTGCCACACACCTTTAATCCCAGTATTTTCTGGGGGTGTGACAGAGGCAGGAATATCTCTGTAAGTTTGAGGACAGCCTGGTCTCCAGAGCTAGTTTCAGAACAACCAGGGCTACACAGACAAACCCTGTTTCAAAAGAACAAACAAACAAAACCCAAAACAAAAAAAACAATGATTTTATTCTTCTTTTGAGAAAAATGAGTTTTAATAACTAGAATAATAATTTTAGAACAAAATAAGACCTTATGAGTTAAAGAATATAATATTTGGGGTAAAATGCTTAATAGAGACCAGGAGATTCAACCACACTTCATGCATGCTAAGCAGACGCTATTCTACTGAAACTTCATTGTATTTCCAGGCACAGGTTATTCTTTTTATCAGACTTAGATGCTATATTCTCCCCCAATGTAGTCAATTCCCTTCTGCAAAGACAGTGAATTGTCTTCCATGGTGTTCTGGTATTTTCCTAGTATGTTTGGAAACCAGTAACACTGTAAGTTAATGAATGTGTCTTATATTAGTAATAATGGTAATAATTACTCTCAACTCAGAATATGGATTGATTTATGGTAATCATCATGAAAATGTAGGAACATAAAACCTCTCAAATTTAGAGAAAAACCTCATTTCTATCTCTTCTAGAGACCAGTCATTATCGCCAACGGTCTGTACAAAGAGTATGCAGGTCAGAAGAAATGTTGCTTTTCAAAGAGGACAAAGAAAGTAGCAGCAAGAAACATCTCTTTTTGTGTTAATAAAGGTTTGGAACAACCACTTCTTAAATTTACTGTTTAAGTTTTTTTCAGCTAATTAATTTTTGTGTTATTAGAGAGTAGAACCCAGAGCCTGATGTGTGCTAGGCAACTATTCTACCACTGTTAGCATTCTTAGCTCTCCCTTTACTTCTTGTTTGGAGGCAGAGTCTCACTAAGTTGTCAAGGATGGCCTTTTGAACCTACCCTGTAGTTCAGTCAGGTCTTAAACTTGTGATCCTCCTGCCTCAGCCTTTTGAATAGATGGGAGTACAGGTCTGCATACACAAAACCATTAACTGTTATTCTTAGGAATGAACACACACACACACACACACACACACACACACACACACTGTTTTAGGAAAAATGCAGGAAACTTCCTGCCTTTGTGAATTTTGCATTCTAAAGAGTCCATAAAAATAATTTATCAATAAAATATCACTTATTGCATATCAATGCTATGTAGAGCATTGAAACTTGTGAAATAACAGAGTGACATGGAACTGTATTTTATTAGAACAAGGGAAGGCTTTACTTGAACAGTGACATTTAAGTCAATATCTGTGTGACCAGAAGATGGGGACAGCAATGACAAGGATTTAGATACAGTGACTCATTTGGAGTGGTTGAGTTTAAAGCAAAGAGAGAAGCAGATGCACCTGTGTGTGGAAGGGATGAAGTATGAAGTCAAGCAGGGTTTGACTAGATACACTTCTTTAGATCAGCAAGATGGTACAGTTTACACCATGCTAGTAGGATGTTATTAGAGGGTGTTTTAGCAGACAGGTCACATTTTGTAGAAATTACATACTGTTATTTGTTTATGAATTTGAGAAGGAGCAATTTACATCAATTCAGATGAAAATTCATGGTAGTTGTGGTTTATTTTTGGTGTAAGAATAGTGTCCCAGCTTTCTAAGTTTTAGAATTTGTTTGCATGAGTACACAGGTACACACACACTCATACACAGTGCATGTACAATCTACTGTGGAAAATAATTGAAATAGGAAATCTTGGGGAGTGATATATCAATGTGGAATTAATAAGCTTTTGATAAAATGTTAATGATGAGAATTAAATAATGTGTTTTCATGACATACATTTTGTATATTTTATGTTAGAATTACTCTGAGGATTTACTGGCCTCTCAAGATTTCACTGAAAAACTATAAATCTGCATTTATTAATCATCCTTTTCTTTCTTTCAGGCGAAATTCTGGGATTGTTAGGACCCAATGGAGCTGGTAAAACTTCTTCTGTTAGGATGATAGCTGGGATCACAAAGCCAGCAGCTGGAGAGGTTAGTAAACAATGCAGAAATCATTTCCATTAAAAAAATTATAGTCATAATAAATATAGGTTATATATTTGTAAGACTTTTATTGGTGATTTTGGGTATACACATTTTTCCTTTTACTGCTTTTTTTATAAAGATTTATTTATTTATCATGTTTACAACATTCTGCCTCCATGTAAGCCTGCATGCCAGAAGAGGGCACCATATCTCATTATAGATGGGTGTAAGCCACCATGTGGTTGCTGGGAATTGAACTCAGGACCTCTGGAAGAGCAGACAGTGCTCTTAACCTTTGAGCCATCTCTCCAGCCCTCCTTTTATTGTTTTGGGTGGTATTTAAAAGTTTATAATAGGAATTGGAATATTACCAGGAGTCAAGTACCTGTTGTGTACCACAGGTTTTTAGGTACCACCTGAATTTGTACATCGTTTCCACCCTACTCACATGTGAAATTATGCTTGTACACTAGCAGATTTCATTATTTTCTGTGATAAATATGCATCAGTTTCTGCGACATGTTCTTGTTGTTTTAATAGTTCAGGTATTTGCCAGCTCTAATTTCTAGACTGTGGTGGGCAGGCCTCACAGACCATCAGTAAAGCTGCTTACTCTCATAGGTGGAGCTGAAAGGGTCTAGCTCAGCTGTGGGTTACCAGGGCGATGGCACAATCAAGTTTGGATACTGTCCTCAGGAGAACATGCTATGGCCCATCCTGACAGTGAAAGAACACCTGCAAGTGTATGCCTCTGTAAAAGGGCTGAGGAAGAAGGATGCTACCATTGCCATTTCAAGGTAAAGCAGAGGGGGTGTGTCATCCCTTTTTGTCAAGAGGCAGGGAGGTACTACCCACAGTGAATTTACTAATGAGGAACAGGAGCAGAAAGGCATCTCTACCTTTGTGGAGCATTGGTGGTAGAGCAGAAATGAGAGACCACACCTATTCAATAAAATAGGTGACAAAAAATGAGTACGTCTATGCTCATAAATAGTCACTGTTTCTAGGTTCCTAATGAGAAAATGGAAATAGAGTAAACATCAGTTTGGTTTCTCATTCAGAATTATAATGAAAAAAACATTTCATGAGGCAAAAAATGAAATAACTTTTTTATCATGATTCAAACTTTTAAACAATAGTGCTGTGCTTCTTTCAATGTTCTTATAATTATGGGTGATTTCATTTTCCCAAAGTTCTCTCTTAGTGTGTTATTTGCATCTTATTTTCTATTAGATTAGTGAATGCTTTTAAACTACACGACCAGCTGAATGTCCTAGTGCAGAAACTAGCTGCAGGAGCCACTAGGAAGGTATGTGTGGTATCCAGTGCTCTTCTGGGTGCTTATGTAGTATGGGAGCAAACAGAGGACATTTTCTTCCTTCATTGCAGCTGTGTTTTGTGCTGAGCATCCTGGGAGATTCATCTATCCTAATTCTGGATGAACCATCTACAGGCTTAGATGTGTCTGAGCAGCAGCAAGTGTGGTGAGCATTCTTCTAGGTCCCAGACCCACAGGGATAAACATGTAAAATGGAAGGAAATCCACAGGTTCCCAACAGTGGAAACTATACTAGTTAGCTGCTTTACCTTGGGTGGTATATGTTCTTTTAAAGGCCATGTGTTATAAAGGTTTGCTCCCCAGCCAGTAGTGCTGCCAAGAAGTGCTAGCTGGCAAAGATGACCTTGAAGAAGACATTGGCCCTCTGCTCCTGAAAAAAAGCAGCCATATTTCCCTGAGGCACTCACCATCATGGGGTTTTGCCTTGCCACAGGCACAAAGCAGTGAGTCTAATCAACCATGGCTTAGAATACCTGAAACATTAATGCAAAACAAACCTCTCTATTTGGGTTGATTATCCCAGGCATTTTAACACAGTGAAACAAATCTGGTATGTAATGACACCATATCAACAGCTATTATAGCAAATATTTCAGGTGATCAGCTTACAAAGAGGAAAGATTTGCTTGGGCTTGAAGTTTTGGGGTCTTTAAGTCCATATTGTGTTGGTTTAATTGCTCTGGGGCTGTGGTAAAGTAGCATGCCATGGCAGGGACACATGATAGTTCTGTCACTTTATACATGAAGGAGCAAAGAGAATGAAGAAGGCATTGAGGTGCCAGAATCCCCCACAGAGGCACTGATGTCCTAGATCTCAACTTTTAAAGATTCCATCACTTCCTAATGGCACTGTCTGGGGACCAAGCCTCTAGTACACAGACCTTATGAGACATTCAAGACACAAACTCTAGATACAGAGATAGTTCATGTTATTAGGAAAGCAAATATTTAACAAGTAAGTGGATGATCCAAAATGATCCATATTCTGCAGTTTGGGGCTTAATAATAAATAATTTTAATTTTGTATTTTAATTATTGAGAATTCTGCAACAATTTATTTTGCTGGTTAGACTTTTCCTAAAGAAATTAGTTTACTGACACAATTTCTTTATCTGTCAGATTTACTTACCCAACTTATTTTAGTTTTTCCCTATTCTTACCTGTGAATCACCCTTTTTGACTAGTAAACCTCTGGTTTAATGTCATGTTTGTGATTATCTAATACTTTCTCAAATTTAAAATAAATTTTGTTGTCATTGTTTAATGCAACTGTTGAAAGAATTATTTATGAATCCGTTGTATCTATCATTCATTTCCAATCATTGTCACTAGAAGGCCAACTTTCTTTTCTCAACCCATTTCCTTTTGCACCTTCTATTGTTTTAAAGGAAATATGAAGTGACATGTCCTTTTATTAATCATTATTTCAGTTAACATCTCCAAAAGACAAAGAAACTTCTTTTTAAAGTTTAATTCAAATACTATGAACACACCTAAAGTATTAAAAATTCTCTTTATTTAAAAAAAATCAGTCAGCATTGATTTCTCTGGTGTTTTTGAATACATGAATATGATTTTTAAACTATTGTTATCTATACATTTCCCTCTATTTTATCTTTCCTATTATCTTACTTTTGGTTTTAAATTCTAATTTTTACTCACTTCAGGCAGGCAATCCAGGCAGCTGTTAAAGACAATGACAGGGGTGTCCTCTTGACTACCCATGACTTGGCTGAGGCTGAGGCTCTGTGTGACCGAGTTGCTATCATGGTGTCTGGAAGGCTGAGGTAGGTATCTCTCCAGAGCCTGATTTGGGATTGCTGAGGTAGGTATCTCTCCAGAGCCTGATTTGGGATTGCCTGTAGACCAAGTCACTGTTAGTAGCTAGCTCCTTCCTTTTACCTTCCTCACTGATACCCTTTCTACTATCTCTGAAATTTAAGAATAACAAAACTTTAATGACAATGTTTTTCTCCCCCCATCTTGTTCTTCCTACTCATAGATGCATTGGTTCAATTCAACACCTGAAAAGGAAGTTTGGCAAGGATTACATTCTAGAACTAAAAGTCAATGAAACTTCCCAAGTGCCGTTAGTCCACAGGGACATTGTGAAGCTGTTTCCACAGGCTGCACGTCAGGAAAGGTGAAGAGAGCTGCTCATGGTGGAGAGCCATGTAGCTTTACATACCTGGTTTCTGTTAGCTTTGTGCCAACACTGGTGATTAGGCTTCACAGTAATAGTTAGGGACCTTGGAAGGAGGTGTGCTAAGCCTTCCAGGTTAAAAGAGGTCTGCAGATTACACAGGAGCATGTGTCTCTTCCTCTGGGAAATAGCAACAAAGATGATGGGTTTTTCTTTAATAGAATTTCCTTGTTTCAAAATGGAGACTGTAAAGGAGTGTATTGTATGCACATGTACACGTGTGTGTGTGTGTGTGTGTGTGTGTGTGTGTGTGTGTGTACCTATGTGTTATTAGGAGCAGGACAAGAAGATAGAGCAGCAACTGAATTTAAAATTAGAGGGATAAGCACATCAGAAAAACAAGACACAACACTGTTTTTATTCTCGTCTTCACACAGTGTAAATGTAATTAATGATTGCCTAAGGTATATTCTAAAACCTGCTCTTGCTCTTAAACCTTCAGTATCATTAGTTAAAGATATATGTCTATGTATCTGTATGTATGTATGTATGTATGTATGTATGTATGTATGTATATGATAAATGTGGGAATATGATGAATGATAAGAAAGGAAGAGAGTGATCTGGTCTGAAGATATCCATCCCTGGAGGTCTGGTCAGTCTTACTGCCATTTAGGAACACTGCACTGTTAATCTGGGAGTGAGCTGAGGCAACAGCAAAGGTTGCTGTCAGGAGCAGCGCCAGAAGGAAAATGCCCTATGCCACCCTGTCCCTTAGAGGCTCCAGGGATTTTAAGTCTTCCCAAACTGGCAGCCACTCTTCCCAGCCTTGGAGCTCTAATCATTGTGACAATACTGAACTCGCTTGAAGTTTTGTTTTCAGCTTGAAGACTGTTCTAAGGATGTAGGTTGGAATTTCTGATCTTAACAATAAAACAGTTTGAGTTAACTGGGCTATGTAAGAATATAAGTAGTAGTATTCTGCCATTACTAGAAATGTCTACAACGGCCAGTTCCCTTCAAACATTTCAAAAGTTTTATTGGTAAATAATTTGGTTTCATATTTAACCTATATATTATCTTGTACCAATTTTATTTTTAAAGACGTGGTTAATGATACAAAGATTTATTCTGATGTTTATCATCCCCACCTTGAAACACAGATTAAATATAATGTGTTCCTATTGCCAGGTATTTCTCCTTGTTGACCTACCAGCTACCCATAACAGATGTTTATCCTCTGTCTCAGGCATTTCACAAGTTAGAAGCAGGTAAGAACAAACTTTTAAAGGACTTGGAGGATAATTTAACGAAGGGTGGATGTGCAGTAATTTTAAAAATAGGCCCTGCAGGGTGTTGATTTTAAGAATGGGAAGAGGTTCATCTGCAGGGGGACTGAAGCTGCAGAGGACATCAGTGGAGCTTAGCGCTCTCACTTCACATCTGCATTAACATAGGAAAAACCGTGACTGTGGCCTGCCTTGTCTATATGCTCATATTCCATTCCTGCCAAGTGTGCTGTAATTACCTCTCTCTTCTTACCTCACAGCCCACTTCCTCCCTGCTTTCTTCCCTCATTGATGTGCTCAGATTACACTGATGAGGTGAAAGCAATAGGAACCACTTACCCGCCAACATCCTTGTACTGTGCTGAAAGATTCAACCTTCTGTTGCTGAATGATAGCTAAGTCATTCTTTGATTGCTCAGAGCTCCTCTCACTACTAACCCTGTTTGTCTGTCTTACTCTCAGTCATCTAGATGGTTCCCAGCAGCAGATCATCACTGTGTGATTTGCTGAAGAACCCTAACCCTGAAGCTACTAGTCTTTCTGAGTTTCCATCACAGAGCTGCTTCTCAATAGCTGGGAGACAGTGAACAAAATTCCCCAATCCCTGCTCACCTCAGCATTATCGGTGTCCTCTCTACAAGGTCATCAGAGTGAAGGAGTTCATTTGCAAAGTGCCCAGAACTGTCTGCCTCATTGTGCTTGAGATAATACAAATCTCTGTTTGTGTCCACTCTCAATAGCCGACTTCCTGACTCTTCCTAATTGTTGCCGGTCAAACACCCTCTTGCCCTGGTACTCTGTACTTGCTCATTCTTCTTTTTAAATTTTTATTGAAGATGTTTATTTTTCATTTTACATGCCATTACAGTTCCCTTCATCCCCTTCTCCCACCCCCTGAAAAACTCCCCTTCCCACCCACCATACACTCCTGAGGGTGGGTAGAAGGGAGGGGATGGGAGATGGGAACGTGAGGGATCAAGAAGGCCAAGTTGGGGGAAGGAAGAGGGAAGAGGAATGAAAGCGATGTCTTGATAGAGGGAACCATTATGAGGTTAGCTCATTCTTCTTTCTGAAATTAAGTTTTCTAAATATTTAGGTTGTTGTTTCTTCACATTTTTATGATTCTGCTCAATAATCAAATTATTACTATAACTTCATCAATAGTCCTATATAAGAAGAGTATGCAATAGTTTTTGTTTTGACTTTTGACTGGTTCACTTTTCTCCATAGTGTTTATTATTATTATTATTATTATTATTATTATTATTATTATTTTGGTTTTTCAAGACAGGGTTTCTTTGTGTAGCTTTGGAGCCTATCCTGGACCTCCCTCTGGAGACCAGGCTGGCCTCGAACTCACAGAGATCCACCTGCCTCTGCCTCCTGAGTGCTGGGATTAAAGGAGTGCTCCACCAACGCCCAGCAGTTTCACTTATTATTTTATTATACATTTAAATGCATATGGATATAATGTCTACATTTCTCCTGCTAAAAGGCACAGAGAAAGGCCAAGGGTTTTGTCTCTTCCACTCACTGTTCCGTTAATAGCACTTAAGAGTGGCGCTCACACAGGAGATCCCTACAGTATATCTGAATCTAGTGACAACTGTCATGTATATCTCCTGATGTCCCCAGTGGAGACCTGATAAGGTAGATGATCACTGAAGGGAATATTGATTTGGTCCTCTGAGAGAATATGCAGTGAAATCTTTCACATATGTAAAAATACTTTGATCAATTGTGTGGTTTCTCAAGGAAAATACATGTCTCCCAAAGACATACACACTAAATAGAGATTAGAAAATTTAATATGAGAAAATCCCAGTGCTAAGATGGATTTGGTATGCATTCATATTAACTTTTTGTTGCTGCAGCCATTATTTGCGAAAATATCCTAAAACCCTTCAAATTCACACTTCATCTGTAGAAACTCATATGACTCCTATCTAAACTCCATATATACTTCATGACATTGTCTGTCCTGCAGTTATTTATTCCACTTAACTTTTATTTGTTTTAATAATTTCATTTTGGAGTATAGGACTTTGAAAATTTTCTTGACAATAAACTGTAAGTCTATGCTCATTGTCTTTTATTGATTTATGTATTTTTCAGTGAAGCATAGCTTTAACCTGGAAGAATACAGCCTCTCTCAGTGCACACTGGACAAAGTAAGTCAGCTTATTGACTTTGTGTCATCACTGTAAATTTCATGAAAGGGACATGCATTTCCCTGGTCATTTGGAGGACAACTAACAGCTCAGTAATCATTTTCCTGTGTAGGTATTTTTAGAACTATCGAAGGACCAGGAACTGGAAACTGTTCATGAAGAAGCTGATACAACTGTGAGATGGAAGCTCCTCCCTCGCTTAGATGAACTATAAAGTCTCAGACCTAATCATTCTGTTATCCTACAAACTTATGTCCCATGTAGTAATTAACAGGATTAACAATTTCAGTTGTTTTCACATCAATGTTAGACATATTTTATCTGCTTAGTCAACCACAAAACAAGATTTATAGTAATTCATGCACTAAAACTTAAAGGCTTTAAGAATATATAAAATACTGGTAAAGTACTGTAGAAGCAAAACTACAAACTCAATTTTAAAAAATACTAATTTGTAACAATTATCAGAACATTAACTTGCTGAAATAGATGAGGACTACATTTAGTAGCCATTAGCTGCATGGGAACTTCACGGTGGTTAATAAATATAAAATCTATAAATTTTCTTTTATATAAAATATGAGCTATTATTTTTCCTAAATCCTTTTCAGGAATTATTTCAACAGCAGTACAAGTTACAAGGCTCTAAACTCACAAATAGATACACATCTTAAAAGCAGTTCAAATACAACTTTTGAAAACAAAAGGAATCACAGCAATAATTGTTTTTTTAATATAAATACTAATATCCTGTTCTTAGCATTTCCTTCATCTCTTCATCAACAGTGTTCTGTGCATTTGACACTGCTTTAAGTCCATTTTCTACTTGCATCAGTTTATGTACACATATGTACACTGTATGCAGGTCTCTCATATGTCAGCTTTACATATTATTTTAATTTTCCCTTGAAATACCTATATAATCCTGAATGTCACCAGAAAATATTTCAAGGCCAGGCTGTAATCCTACTCTAATTTTATAATATTTTGTATAGCTTAAATATAACATTTTTCTGTTCACTAAAGAAGTTTTGATAGTTAAGTGCTTATGCTGTTGCCGAGAATCTGGGTTCAGTTCCCAGCACTCACATGGCAGCTCATAACTGTCTGTAACTCTAGTTCAGAGGATCTGAGGTCCACTTCTGTCATTCTTAGGCTACTGCACACATATACGTGCATAGACGTATACTCAGGCACCCCATATACAGAAAATAATTGTTTTTTTAGAAAGAATATTTGTATAATGGAGAAAATACAGAAATTAAATAAAATTTAATAAAAGAGCCACTACAGTTCTTTCATAAAACTTCAATTGTGTACTTTTTAAATCCATTTTTATAGAATTTCATACACATTTCCTAACTACATACTTGTATTTACTGATGTAACATTGGAATTCTTACCTGCTTGCAAATTTATATTATTACTGTTGAAGCACTATATGTTTGCATTTATATTTGTGTTAATTATATTCTTTGCTCGTTTGCTTTTGTGCTTTCATCTTTTTACTACACATTTACAGGATTCATATGTAATGAACTAGGTTAGCTATGTATTTCTTCCAAGACAGCTGAACACCACTATCTTGGAAGTCTGACCTGTCCCAAGAGCCAAACATTTTAAGTGCTTACTTGTCAAAGGTGAAGGGATTAAATTTTAAGTATTAAGGATTTTAAATTAATGAAAAACTTGTGTTTAAATCCCTACCTGGGGCTATCATCTAACATACTGGATAGTTCAATTCCAAAGTTAATCAGTGTTTTGGCCTCATCTTCATCTGTAAGGTTTGTAGAAGCTGTGATCATGCTTCTCTCCTCGAATAACATTTGTTTTTATATTTTAGCTTACCGTTATGTTTACTATTCTCCCATAAAATTAGTCATTCTCATCATGATCCTGTGCATCAATTTCACTTACAAATGGATTTCTAAATTTTGAGCATGAACCTACTTTCCCTCAAATGAAATTGTAAGTAGCTCCTTCAAAGATAACTATAAAAGACAAAAAAATCTGTGTGTGTGTGTGTGTGTGTGTTTTGTGTGTTGTGTGTGTTATGTGTGTGTGTGTGTGTTTTGTGTGTTGTGTGTGTTGTGTGTGTTATGTGTGTGTGTGTGTGTGCGCGCACGCACACACACGCACGCATACTCCTGTGCGTTTTGTGTGTTTGAAGATTGGCTCACTCTACTCTTATACAATGAATTATACTTTAAGATGGTATATCAATCAACATTTGTACTAATCTTTCATTATTAGTTTTAGTAGTTAATATTCCTGTCCATTCACTAATTTCAGTCAGCCAATGACCTCTTTATTGATTGACTTTAAGGATTTCATCCATGTGTATATTGTCCATAGACCATGTTTATTCTCATTACCTTCTCTTGTCTACCTCCCACCCCACTACTGTTTCTACTTCCCACCTAATTCCCTTACTACTTGCGTGCTGGCAAGTACCACTGAGTTTAATTAGGGTTACATAATGAGCAAAGATGGGGTTATTTATCACAGCATGGGCAATTTATCAGTGGCTGCACTGAAAAAAATGTCTTGTCCTCTGTCCTGATTGGGCTTTGTTTGTTTGTTTGTTTTTGTTTTTATCTTTTTTTGTCAATTTGACACTAGCAATGGTCATTATTAGGGAAGTAGGAACATTCTTAAGACTGGCCTGTATGCAAGTCTGTGGGGTCATTTTCTTCTTTAATAATTAATATGGAAGGGTTCAACCCACTGTGGGAGGTTTTGCCTCTGAGAAGGTGTTCCTGGATGGTATAAACCACAGTGCACAAGCAAGTAAGTAGCATTCTTCCATGGTCTCTGCTTCAGTTCCTGTATCCGGGATCCTGCCTTGAGTTCCTGCCCCAACTTCTCTCAGTGATGGAATGTGACTTGAGAATTGTAAGATGAAATAAAACCTTTCCTTCCAAGTTCATTTGGTCATGATGTTTTGTCATAGCAATAGAAATCAAAACTAAGACACCCTCCTCCAGCAACTACAATTGCCAGTAGCTCCCCAGGGAGGGGAAAAGACCTTCAAAAGTGCATACTCCATTCCAATTTGTTAATATATATTGTTTTGAAGCATCAATTCAGAGATAAATTTCACTTTCATGCTAAGTAACACCACCTACATCATAGGATTTTTTTTAACAAGGCTTTTTAAAAAAATTTAAATTAGAAACAAGTCTGCTTCACATGTCAATCCCAGCTCCCTCTCCCTTCCCTCCTCCCCTGCCCCACCCCTGCTCTGCTCCCCAGGGAGGGTGAGGCCATCCATGGGGGATCTCCAAATTCTGCCATATCGTCCAGGGCAGGGCCTAGGCCATACTCCATGTGACCAGGCTGAGAGAGAATCCTTCTATGTGGGATGGGCTCCCAAAGTCCATTTGTATGCTAGGGAAAAATACTTATCTACCTGAGGCCCCATAGATTGCTGGGGCCTCCTCACAGAAACCCACATTCAGGGAGTCTGGATTAGTCCCATGGTGACCTCCCAGCCATCAGTCTACTGTGTCTAGAAAATGCAGTTTCCTTGGAGTTGCTCATCACCTTTGCTCTTAGATTCTTTCTTCCTCTACTGCATAGCTTTCCAAGCATTAAGGAGAGAGGTGTGGTATAGACATTGAGGGCTAAGTCCAAAATGTTTCAGTTTATGCAGTGTCCATTTATATGTCTCTATATTAATTACCATCTAGTGCAAAGGAAGAAGCTTCTCTGATAACGGTTGAACAATGTACTTAGTTATGGGTATAACAATATATCGTTAGGACTCATCCAAGAGAGACCAGTAGAGAGTTGGAGTGTAACACGAATTAATAAATACCCAGAGACAGATATTGGAGTCCCAGCTGAAGATCAGGGAAGCAAATCAGCCAAGCTACCAGAGAGCTCTTACTTCTAACAGGGCTGCATTTCTATTCTCAACATGGCTGGAGAACGAATGCCTCCTACTGAGACCTTGCTCCTCTCTTATATACCTCCCTAATGCTGAGATTAAAGGCGTGCGATCCCAAGTGCTGAGATCATCTTTGTATAAGGTGTTTCTCTTTAGGACTGGATCAATCTTGTGCAGATCTGGGTGGCCTTGGGCTCTCAGAGATCCGTCTACCTACTTTAATCCTGAGTCCTAGGATTAAAGGTGTGTACCACCAACTCCTAGCTTCTGGATGCTGGATTAAAGGTGTGTGCCTGGCTTCTATTGCTTGTGACTATCTTTGCTTTCTGAATCCTCATGCAAGCTTTAATAAATCATAAATGATATACCACTACATTAGAGTTAAGTCTGGTAAAGAAAAGAGGTGAATAGAAAATGGTACAGTCACAACCCAGTATGGCTGGAGTTGTAGACAAGTCAGAACCAGATGGCAGAAGGGCTTGTGTGTTTTCAGTGTAGGCAGGGCATCATCACTCCTGAGAGGAATGTGACAAAAAGCATGTCGTTAAGAGTGTTTATTTGGTGTGGAAGAGTGTTGTATTCTTTTTTCTAAGAGGCAAATAGGCAAAAGATAGAGATGTATAATGTATATCCAGTATCTAATAAATTTCCAGGAAAAAAAGATTAGAAGTGAAGCAATAGTTGAGGAAGGGATTTATTTGAAAATTTCCCAGAACTTCAAGATCAATCCAAACTTCAAAATCTTTGTAAATGACAACAAAGTTCCACACAAGACAAAACAAAACCTACACCTGAACATGTTGTCATATTTCATACTGTTGTAGTGAAAGAGAAAAAAATTCAATTTCCTATACATTCTTATCAGCAAAACTACAGGAGACAAGAAAAGTTACATTATTTTTAGCACGGAGAAGACACTAATTATAACCAAAACCCAACAAGAGCAGCATTTGATATGTTTTTCCCTTTTTGCTATCTTATTCCTTAAATCCCAAAGATATTTCTAAAATTGCTTTTTTAAAAAAATTTATGTGTGCGGCTGTCCTACCTGCATGTATATCTGTGCACCATGTTGCCGGTGGCCAGAAGAGGACACTGGTGCACCTGGCACTGGAGTTACAGATGGTTGTGAGTCACTATGTGTGTTCTGGGAATCAAATTCGGCTCTTGGGAAGGAACAGCCAATGCTTATACCTGATAGGCCATTGCTACAGCCCCAGATCCCAAAGATTAAATTTTAAAATGATTCCTCTCATGTGCTCTGGGTCTCATAAATGTGGAGACTCAGGCTTTCATGGCAAATTCTTTGCTCAGCATGGCACGATGAATAAACTATACAGGTGAAGTTTCAGGTTCAAATATGTTGAACCTGTAGGGAGCTGGAAGGGTGGAGAAAAAACTGAATGCAGAGGCTGAATTTTTATATCACTAGAGTAACCGAAGTTCAAATATGTTTGTTAGTACTTAAAGATAATCATTAGTGGATCAAAATTAATATCCAGCACTTTCTAGACAAGAGATGGCATAAAGGAATCCACAGAAAGGAACAGAGAAAACACAGTCTCTGCAGAAATGGAAAACTGGAAAGCAGCAGGAAAAAATTAAAATACACTTAAAATAAAATGAGTGGAGGAAATTGATTCACCATTTTAAAGACTTGTATTTCTTTTATAAAAGTAGAATTTAAAAATCAAATTAAATAAAAGGAAAAATATAATTATGTTACTTAACAAGGAATCTTGTAAAACAATGGTGCTTGATCAAAATATACCTAAGAAATTAAAGTTAAAGTGGAGGGCTAGAATATATCATTAAAAGGATATATTCCAGGAGAAAAGTGCATAAAACAGAATCAAGTATAATTTACTTAATGTATGTCTATAAAGATTTATTTTCATTTTATGTGTGTGGGTGTTTTGCCTAAATCACTGCTTCTCAGCCTGTGGGTCAAATGACCCTTTCATAGGAGTCACCTAAGGCCATGTGCCAAATATTTATATTATGATTCATAACAGTAGAAAACTTACAGTTATAAGTTAACAATGAAAATAATTTTATGGTTGGGGTACCACAACATGAGGAATTATATCAAGTGGGTCATAACATTAGTAAATATTAGTAAATATGTCTTTATGTCATATGCATGCAATGTCCATAGAGGCCAGAAGAGAGCATCAGATCTCTCTGGAACTGTCATGTGAGTGCTGGGAACCAAACCAGTACTCTGAAAGAACAGAAAGTGATCTTAACTACTGAGCTATCTATCTAGTCCCTCACATGTTTTTTAAAAATAGTATCTATATAAGGAGGATATCAGACAATGCCTACATGTATGCAGTTCAACTAGGTCTGAGGAAAGAAGAAATATATTCTTTTCTTAAGAAATAATATTCTTTTCTTAAGAAATAAGACATTTGTCT